GGTTGAAACCCCATATTCAACTAGGAAACCAAGGGAACAATAATGATAATAATAATTCTCACTACTGCATATCCACGATATATATTTATATATACACATAGCGCGACCACCAGAAATGTCATCGGTGAATGAATAACTGTCCTCACACACACACACACACACAGACAACTACGTTGGTCCCACACTCTACGTCTTTAGTGACTGGCAGAGATTTAATTTTCAAGTGTGTTGGTTTGCAGGGCTTCGATTGATTTCAGGTACCACCACAAAGTGACCTCAGTTAAAGAACGACTGAAAGAACACTATGGAGTAATGGACAGCTGTTTCGTCCTTGTTTGTGACTTTTCCGCAGTGTATGGTGCATACCCATGACCTTGTCGGATCGATAAATTGAAGGTATATTTATAGTAAGCAGCAGGTAAATTTAAAATTTTCTAGAAGATATAAATATCTTCATTAGAGATGAGGTCAACTAAAAATTGATTACAGCCATTATTATTTTTATTGATTATTACAACTCAATTTTTGTTTATTTTTAGAAGGTAATGTTACTTTTGATTTCAGTAAAAAATAAAATAAAAGAGTCGACCAGTTACATTAATTAGTTAGTTAGAACTCATACAAGGAAAGAACCTCGGAGGCCTTACGCAGAATTCTTAACAAGGCAAGCAGGAATAAAAGTGGCTGCTGGCATTCAAACCAACCACAAACTCAATTAGAAACAAGCTTTGTCGGTTAAAGAATCAATCCTGTGGAGTCTTTAAAACAAAACAATTTAGTTTCTCTAATACCTTGCAATGATTGTCAGGTCAAATAGATAGGTAAAAGTAGTAGAACAGGGGCAGTCAGACTAGTCGAGCATAGAAACCTAGCAAAATTTAGATTAGTTGACCTGAATAAGATAAGAAATCTAGAGAATAGTTCAGCTATCGCAAGCACTACATGCAATTAACACAACCACACAATAGGATGGGATAGGATGACAGTTTTAAAATCTAATGTCACAGAGTGGAGGGAGAGATTGATTGATAACAGAAGCTTTATTTATCGAATCAACTGAGAGCGAATACATGTAATGGGAATGATTTAACACCTGTCCTAGATATCTGGAAAATTCTACTACCCCTAAGACGACAAACAGGAGAGAACAAAGAAAACTATCAAACTCAAGTTTCGAAGTCATGTGATTATAATTGATGAAATGATTATGAACAATAAATTTTGTTCGAAACGTCATCCAGTAAATAATACTGTTTCACTCACTGTGTGATTTATCTAATAAACAAACTAATATGGAATTACTTACTACCACAGTGCCCAAGTTTTACACATATATTAATTAGTTAGAACTCAGTTAGCCCTGTACCGGTTTATGAGCCAATCTTATTTATTGTATGTAAGTGCTGATGATACATACTACATACATACACACAGAACAACTTTGTACCGATGTGCAGCACAACAAGTTTCCACATTCTCTCCATGTAGCACACAAAGCAAGAGAAATGAGTAAAGAGAGATTCAAAACAGAGATATGAGGCAAAAAGAATAGTAATATATATCGAAGAACAATAAAGTTTTATCGGATATTATAAGTCACAAGGAGTGGATGCATCTGCGCCAACTACTAAGAACGATTTTGAGCCAGCCAACCAGCCTCTTCATTGGTTCTTACCATCCTGTGGACCTCAACCAGGAAGCCAATCTACACCTCCCTACGTGGCTGGCTGGCTGGCTTAAACTAACTGTTGTGGATTTATTTCATTGACTGACGAAGCCATGCTTTAGTTTCACCACCACTAGCTCACTCTTTTCCAACTTGATTCATCCTATATCAGCTAACATTGCTCAACAAAGAACGCGGCGGCTCAGAATGCATAACACAAATATCTTAGCCATCTCAATCGAAGCAGCTTCGCAAAACTCAATGCCTAACTTCGATATTACTCATCCTATTATGCTACACCTAACATGGGAGGTGGTAATAAGCAGACACCACTAATCAAAGACAACTAGACTATTTATGTCTCCCACTCTCATTGGCCATACCTCACAGCCAAATAAAAGGACAGACAGAATTGCTGTGAAGTACACACACATCGTTTGATCGATAGATGCATATCGCGTCTACACTAGAGATGGCACATACGTTGGCAAATGCCGCCACGCGAGCCTTTTGTATCCGTGCTGAGCGTTCGTCAGCAATCAACCCGTTGGCGTTGGGGCTGATGCAGATTCTCAAATAAGTGAAGCGGTCAACACACTCAGGCGCCACATTTCACTACTGCCAACCTTTAAGCTAGGAGTTGATGTAGCCCAGTCGCGCATGCCGAACAGTTGAAGACTGACTGAAGCTCAAGGTGTTGAGAAGACTTTGCATTCTGTTAACGTCGGGAGATTCGAATTCAGCTCCACTTATTTTAGCCCAAGGAACTCGGTAGTATTATCATCAGACCTGTTACCAAAGATTTTTTTCGTTATGTCCATAACTTCTCTGCTGTGCTTGCCTGTTTGAAACTGACTACCGTTTTGCTAACACAACTCGTTCAACATCAATCATTCCAACAGACAAACTTCAGTCAAGATTATGGGGACAAAAAGATGAAACACACAAGATCTCACCGTTTGTGCGAGGGCTGGGATATTTCCCGAATGCAGGCTTAGACCAAAGCAGGCGGTTATTTCAAACGGCTAGCGCCAAGCCTTCGACTTGAATTCTGCTGATCTACAAATCATTAGAGCCACATTAACATCTGAGTTCCTATGGTTTCCAGTGACCGAAACGCATTCATTGGCCAATCAATCTCTTTGGATTCTGGAACCCATGTACACTAAAGGTTTGGAATTAGCGTCTTCCAGTTCCCCAAAGTATGTAGACCTGCGTGTCTACTAATCTGGCTGTAAGCGCCAGACATTCGAATTCGTCCTTTCACTTTTGTGAGGAACACCCAACCTGCAGTGTGTGGGCAGTGAATACGCCTTAATTGGCAGAGGCTGTGAACATGTGTAGTCAGCCATATATGAGTATTTCGAGTGGAAGACTGAAACCTACTCACTCTGAGCCACACTAAATAGTTTATGGGTGTAGGGGGCGGTAAGTATCATCAGTCTTCATACAAGAAGTTTGCCTTATAGCCTGGAAAAAGCCTCTTCCAAATGCCCAAGTTGTAGGAAAATATTCGTCGAATATATTCCCTCCTCAACTTCACTCTTCACCTTGAATCCCATCGTGTGTTTTTCCAGTTATGTACAAAGCATCATGCATCAAGCTGAAGAGACTGAATAAAAACGATTATCAGTCTACGAACAAAATTTGGTCGTGTCTAACTGCTTCTCGATGCACATACACATAAAACAGTTACCTGGCTTTCACTAATTCATACTACTTATGAACGCGCGCACAGGTGAGACATATATTAGATTAACCCATTAAGAGTTAAAGTGTACTAACTGTCCAATAGTGAGAGCAGTGGTCACTGAGAGGGGAAGACCTATGATGATATCCATAGTATTGTCAGTATTTAATGATGACATTATCCCGCTTAGCATAGAGTTTTAGATAAGTCAATTGATGAGGTAGGGAAGTGTATAAATTTGCAGAGAACATACACCTGCATCAGACTGAATGTAATGCTATTAAAAGGTCTTCTTCAGCATCTAGTTGAAGAATAGTCACACTAAGGTGTGTTCTATTCATTCATGAAGTGTCACTGACTTCTCCTATGAGTAGACTATGGAAATTTTAAGTTGCCTGGCTTGATGCGTTATGCACCCACTCTACCTACAGGAGTCGTTAATTTACTCGCTAATATGACTGACAATTAGTCACAGTGGTACAAATACATTCATTTTAATGCCAATATATCACTTGATCTATGCTCTCCGACTGTCCCGAATCATCCGCCTATAACCCTCACATTTTCCCCTAATACAGAGTAACACAAGGCCCCAAAATGTTCGTTTACTAACAACTACCAAACAAATCCAAAGAGGTGCTCCGGTTGGACAAGTTGGAAGCAACCTCTTCATCATCAAGTTAGATCACAAATTGACCTCAGTTAAAGAATCAGTGATACTCACAGGAGTACTAGATAGATATTTCGTCCTAATTTATCAACTGATACAGTGATTCGAACTTAGGACATTATTCAGTTGACTATGAATTCAAATTGCTACCAACTGGCCATATAACAGTGTCATCAATGAGTAACCATCCTTTCACGCTTAACCTCCTGAAGTCCATTGGTCGGTCAGGACATCTCCCTGTAACTCTTTTAGCTGAGAAATTTACAGGTTCACCTTGTGGTGAGAGCTGACTGCAAGACAAAATTGTAGACAATCTACGTCAATGTTCACGTCCCGAATCAGGGTCATGAAAAAAAACAATAACAAAGCTTAACCTTGAGGGACTCAACAACCAGTCACAGTGGAGTTAGCGTGTGCAAATACGATTCGCAGATATATGGGCTGACCTTCAAAGAAATGGCCAGAAAGAGATGACAGAATAACCTTGAGCAAGAAAACAACCGATCAGAAGACGTTGTTTCTCCGCTAACAATAACGCTTATAATAATGCACATAAAAATCTATAAATATCTGTTGATTTTCTCAATAAAGGATCTGTTGACTGGCCCTTGTCTTCTATCGTTACAGCCTGATTAACTCTAAAGCTCCTGCAATCAATCTCATCAGAGGGGTTTGCTTGAACGTAAGCCTGAGAGGAGTCACAAACACGCACACACACACTAAGGTGAAACACACAATATCTAAGTGTGTGTGTGTGTGATCTGTTTAACACCTACCGTGAATGGCAATCAAAAAAATAAAAAAAACAAAAATTCACCACAACATATACTACTGATAGGCTAACCGATATAAGTAGTTGACAATCAAATACCATCCATACACGCACACACACACATACACAGAAAATCAAGCACTGAAATTTAAAAATTCAAAAAGTGCGCCACAACACAACACAAAATAAAAACAAAAACTCTTTATACTTGAATACTCTTTTTTATTGAACAATTTTTTGCTTGTTTAAATAACAATAAAAATAACTATAATATTAAATAATAATATTGACAAAACAGAAAGCAAAAAAGGCGGTAACAACAAGAGGGAAAGAAAAAATACACAGAAACGATTTGTTTTATGAAACTGGTATAAAAAATGTGCTTCTCTTATTTATTAAAGGCATATCGGCAGAGTCTTGGTGTTGTATACACGCACAGACAGATATGTTTTACTAGAAAGCGAACGGAAAGTAAGGCAGTGACAAGGAACTCAGACACAAACACACACACACGTGCAAGCATACAAATTGTGTGCAGACAACCAGATACGGTGTGTAATAAGGTGTACAATGAGATATTGTATGGTATGGGGGAAGGGAGGAGCAAGGAAATAAGGGTTATCCATCAATCAACCACGGTAAGCACACCCGTATGTATACGTATATATATCTATCACAATTTTTCCGAAGAATTTACATCCTTCGAAGTCAGGATGGATTCGATTCAATTCAATTCAATTGACATGATTATTGCTGACTGATAACAAGTCGTGAAACATCACGAGCACAAAAATATGTCCGACAAGTTGGACATGGTACACGTCCTGAAAGCCATTGATTCGGTGGACGATGACTGTTTGTCTGACGTGAAGCGAACCAACGAATTAGGCATTCTAAACACCATAATGGTCGACAATAGCATATTCCGCATTGATTACCACTCTCTGTTTGATTATTATTATTATTGTTATTAGCCGCTTGTGCCGGTGGTGAAGATGTCGAAGAGGTTTGAGAAGTTTCACATTGACGATTCAGTGTAACATTGGCTTGATGAACCATACAACCAATGCATTGTTCCAATTCCTGAAAAAGAAGAAGAAGAGGTACGAGTGGTTAAATGTATTATATTACCTAAGCCCAGTTTACTAGCAGTTCCTCCACCCAAAAAAAATGGAGCCTAATTAACAAGGATTAGAAACAAATAAAACAAAACACAAAACTTCAGAAGAATTGATCTATTCTGTCTACTGATAATTTCAAAGGACTTCATGATGTCAATCTCATGACCTGTATCAAGGAGATGCCTGGCAATGACACTTCTGAAGGCTTAGATAATCCTTAGTTAGCAATTTCTCCAGGTCTTTCCTTTTCATGTACAGAATATATTCTTAATATGCATTTGCTAATATATACACACACACACACTTTAAGCGTGAAAATTATGATAAGAGACACTTATTGGTGCAACTTTTACATTGAATCAGTTATGCAGTAAAATAACCAAAGTTACACTGTATTGCTCGATTGAATAACAGCATACCCACTTCACTGGAGTGTTAATACTAAGATATATATATATATATACATATATTTCTGCAACTCAATAATATAACGGGAACTTTTCTTCGCTGTCTCCTTCCCAGTAATTACGCGCAAAAAGCCAAAATCCATGAACTGTGTCTAACACTGATAATAACAGTCAAACATAACAACTTTAGACAAACTTGGATTGCCTTATTACAAGATTAAAAATGTTTACAGGGTATATGAGTAAAGCTTGGGCACTGTGGTAGCAAGTAATTCCAGGGGAAAATATACAAACAAACTGAGGGAGTTGCCATGGGATTACCAATATCCCCGGTTGTAGCAGATATATTCATGAATAAGTGGGAAAGCATGGCGACTGAAACGTTCAATCCCACCCACACCTAAAGTATGGTGGAGGTATGTAGATGACACATTCCCTGTACTTAGAACACAAGATATACAGAGATTTTTCGAACACATCAACTCAAGGGTGGAGGAAATTCAACTCACTTATGAATTGGAAAGTCAGGAAGGGGAGCTTCCAATGTTAGATTGCAACGTAAAAAGGAAAGAGGATGAGAAGTTAAACACTAGGGTTTACAGGAAACCCACACACTCAAACAGATATTTGGATTTCCGATCATCCCACCAACTCTATGTCAGTAAAAATAGGATTGGTGAAATATTTAAGTAATAGGGCACAAAAACTAAGTAGTAACAAGGAAAATCTAAGACAGGAAGTGATACACATAAAAGAAGCCTTGAAACTTAATAATTACCCGGATAAATTAGTCAGCAAGTATGTAAGGAAATGTAAAAATAAAATAAATAATGATAGCGATAGTGATAATAATGATAATGATAACAATAATAAATATAATAATAATATTAATGACGACACCAACAATAAGGAATCTAAATCATCAGTAGTAATTCCATACAAGGAAGGAACCTCGGGAACCACCTTACGCAGAATTCTTAACAAGGCAAGCAGGAATAAAAGTAACTGGCATTCAAACCAACCACAAACTCAATTAGAAACAAGCTTTGTCGGTTAAGGGATCAATCCTGTGGAGTCTTTAAAACAAAAGAATTTAGTTTATCTAATACCCTACCTGCAATGAATGTCACGTCAAATACATAGGTCAAACGAGTAGAACAGGTGCAGTCAGACTAGCCGAACATAAAAACCTAGCAAAATCCAGATTGGTTGATCCAAATAAGATAAGAAATCTAGAGAATAGTTCAGTTATAGCACTACATGCAATTACACACAACCACACAATAGGCTGGATGGGATAAGATGACAGTTTTAAAATTTAATTTAACAGCAGAGTGGAGCGACAGATTGATAACAGAAGCTTTGTTTATCGAATCAACTATAGATACATGTAATAGGAATGATTCATCACCTGCCCCAGATATCTGGAAAATTCTACTACCCATACGACAAATAGAGGAGAACAAAGAAAACTATAAAACTCAAGTTTCGAAGTCGTGTGATTACAATTGATATGATTAGGAACAATAAATTTTGTTCGAAACGTCATTCAGTAAATAATATTACTGTTTCACTGTGTGATATATCTAATAAACAAACTAATACGGAAATAAAACAATGGGCTGATCACTTCAAAGGATTTTTGAAGCGATCACCACCTGCAACTCATCTAGAAGTACCACCAACACCACGCACAGGAGTGCCAGTAGACATCATTCCTCCAACAAAAGCAGAAATCTTGAATGCAATCAAGCTATTGAAGGTGGGGAAGACAGTAGGGCCAGACGGAATCCCACCTGGAGAGTTGAAAACAGACCCAGGGACTGCGGCATATATGCCAACACGTCCCTATTGTATGAAGTTTGGAGGGAAAGGAAGGTGCCTATAGATTGGAAAAAAAGCCGGCTACCTTGTCAAGCTGCCAAAGAAGAGTGACTACTTAGGCCTCTGCAAGGACTGGTGTAGAATAGTGAACTTATCCACGCCAAGTTATATACTACGTCGCGTCATTCTGGAGAGAATAAAAGGTGAACTGGGTGCAGGACTCCAAACGGAACAAGCTGAATTTAGGTAAACCAAATCATGTGAGGATCAAAGTGCAACTCTAAGCACCGTTGTCATCACAGAACAAAGCGTAGAATAGCAATCAAACCTCTACCTCAATGTCACCGACTTCAAAAAGGCCTTAGACACACAGTGTTGACCAAGGAGTAATTTAGAAATTGCTTCAACGCTACGATGAGCAGTGCCTAAATCTTTACTGACCATATTCAACAGCTAAATAACAATGGCACATGTCAAGTGATCCCCAACAGAAAATTCACCAAGTGAAGACAGGAGCAAGAGCCTGTCTATTATCACCGATGATATTCTTAATTGTGGTGGACTTGATTATGCGTCAGACTACGCAATGGGAGTGAGAAGACAGGAGTAAGCTGGACCATCGATAAGAAGCCTCTAGAAGATCCGGATTTCACAGACAATTTATCTCTTATGTCACACAAACTCGAAAAATTGTGCGGGCGAAAACCAACAAACTGATTGAAGAGGCTGACTGGCAACGAAGACAGGGCTACAGGTGAACATTGAGAAGATGAAGGTGATGAAGGTAACCAACCAACCAAACAACGGCAACAACAACAACAAACAACAATCACCATCAACGGGAGAGATTTGACAGAGGTTATTTCCTGCCTTCACTTATCCAACCAGGAAGCACAGTTTCAATCACAGCCAGTCGGACAGCACAGATGAAGATGTCAAAGTAGGCCAGTCAGAATCGGAAAGGCAAGATACGGCTTCATCAACTTGAAACCAGTTTGGAAATCTTCTGCACTCAGTCAGCATGTGGAACAAGATTCGAATTTTCAACACAAATGTTAAGTCAGTTAGTTACTTCTTCTATACGGGTCAGAAACTTGGCCAACCCATCGCGAAAAGCATTTCCAACAAGTTGCAGACTTTTATCAACAGCTGCCACCTTCCCTGGCTGGATCCATACTGAAGATCAAATGGCCAGCTGGCCGACTGACCAAAAAGAATTAGTAACAAGCAACTCTGGGTGGCTGAGATCAAACCAACGGCTCAACAAATACGCAGGAGAAAATGGAGATGGATTGGTCGGGTGAACGTTAAGGAAGGAGGCCGTCAAATGACATCGCGTCCCAGCCAAACCATCGCTCAAGTGGAATCCAAATAGGAAACGACGAGCGGGTGGTCCTAGGGTGACATGGAGGAGATCGTGTGGGGGGGGGAGGGAAATGAGAGATTATGGGCAATTAATACGGTGAATAAGCCCCCCAAATTGAAAAAATAACAATAAAACAAACATATTTTCGTCGGGAAATATGTAACGTGTGATGTTTAATACGTAAAACACGTGAAGAAGAAGAAAAGTACAAAAGTGGTGTGTGATTCGTATGTGCGTGTGTGTGTGTGTGTGTGCGAGTGTAGGAATGAGATCGTATGATGCTTTCATTAAATTAACTGCTCAAGTGAATCAAATGCTCCCATATTGCTTTGATTATCATAATTATTGTTACCACAACCCTAGTAGCATTCCCATGACTTTATATTCGGTGTGTTTATTTTTATTGGGAAGAGTACAATCATGCTGGATTATTTTGAATCGATCAGTATTTACAGCAATAAACTATGTAAAAAACAGACAAATCAAATTAATAACATTATCAATATTCATATATATGAAGGCTTCACCAAGAACCAACAAAGGGAGTGCTCGACAGCGGTTTCGTCCCACCTTAGAACTCTTCATCGTCAGTGCGCACCAACAACCTTCAGGTTATAGCAGGTCAACTCGTTAACCATTCAGCTACTTGAGGCTGGAATTCAATGATGCATGCATGAGCATTTCAACTTTTGTCAATTTAAGATACATAACGGTACAGATCAGGTTGGATTCAGGAGAAACAAGTCATGCATCAATCAAACTGCAAAACTGCGTATTATTATTGAACAGAGCTTGGAATGGCTGTCAGCTGTCTACCTCAAATTTTTCGACTATGAAAACGTCTTCAATAGCACAGCGTCGATTGATTGGTGATTTGGTAACTAATTCGCTACTATGGGGTGACACCAACAATTATACACCCCAATTCAACAGTTGTACGATAATGCTGCATACCAAGTAATCCACAAAAGGAAACTCACAGAATCCTTCGAAGTGAAGACGGGAGTAAGACAAAGCTGGCTGTCTACTATCTCAAGTGATTAATTTCCTGATTACGGTAGACTGGATAATGCGACAGACACAGTGGGCAACGAGGAGACAGGCATAAAATTGACCCACACTCGCTGATGTGATTTCCCACAGACTGGAAGATATGCAAGTGATGAAAAGCAACAAGTCGGTAGAAAAAGCATCAAAGAAAGATATGACTTCAGGTGGACACAGATAAAATAGAGGTGATGAAGATCCCTGGCCAACAGCAGTAGCGCCAATAACAGACAACAATCAGCCAGCATGAATGTGATCAATCTGAAAGAAGCAACCTCCTTCACCTAACTACCTACCCACCTAAGAAGCATCGTTTCAACTACAGGCGAACGGAACTGATGAGGATATCAAAGCAGCGACGATTGGGAAAGCAAGACAAGCTTTCATTTCTCTAAAGTCTGTGTGGAGGTCAAAAGAACTCAGCATGAAAAATAAGATCGGGATTTCCAACCCGAATGTGAAGTCAGTGCTGCTATGCGGATCAGAGAATGGCGCTGCACCGCGTCGCATCACGAAGGCCACTTTGAACAAACTACACACCTTCAACAACAGCTTTCTTCCCTCATTACTTCGCTCAAGATCAGATGGCCGGTTAGAAAGCATCAGCAATAGTGAGGGATCTCTGGGAACGACGAACCAACCCAACAGGAAATAACCGTGCAAGAAATATGCAGGTGGAGATGGTGGCGAATTGGCCATACTCTGAGAAAACAAACTGTCAAGTGAGTGATATCACACGCCAGGCCATTGCTCTAGTGGGACCCCAATGGAATGGGCAGCGGCGAGTTGGTCGTCAGTGGGAGGGTGACATGGAGGAGGAGGTCAAGTGAAGAAGAGATGAAAGCATGTCGGCAGACGTGGAGTCACGTGAAAACGTCGGCAGAGAGCCGAACATAATGGAGATATGCGGTTGAAGCCCTATTTTGCCCTAGGAACTTAAGGAAACAATAATAATAATAAACAGTACAGCCAATTAGCGCGCCTTCTATGAGCGTTCACTTTACTTTGACACGGTGGACCTCTATTAGTCACAACTTCTCAGTATGACCTCAGGACATCTATTCAACAGCCAATGATGAGCTGAAGACTGGTATATTTGGATAATAAGTGTTTTGTTATGGATATGAATTAATTTCAGACAATGAGGTAAATCGTATCAAGGTAAAATGCAGTTGACAAAGTTAAAATCTTCAAGACTTAGTCAGTTTGTAAAGGATTTGATTTGTTTCAAGTGTGATACCTCATATCAGTTAGAGAAGAACCATTGAAAATCGCAACAGGGAATACTTGACAGTTGTTTCGTCCTAGTTTAGGACTCATCGACAGTGCACACCCACCGGTATTCGAACCTAAGACCATACGGTTATAAGATAAACTCGTACATCACCATTCAGCCACTGCAACTTGACTCAATAACCCAGTCGGAAGTGAAGACAAATACTCGCCATGGATGATACTAGCTAGTGGTTGCGCTAAAAATCATGAATCGATAGAAATTGAAATTCATGGGCCATTGAGTCACATCCCAATGGCTGAATAGTAGTCTACGAGTTTGTCTTGTAACCGGAAGGTCCTGGATTCGAACTCCATTGAAAGTAGGTGCGTACTGCCGATGAGTCCCAAACTGGGAAGAAATAGTTATCCAATACTTCCTCCTGATTCTCAATGATTCTTCTCTAACTGACATGCCTACAAGCAAACTCTTGAAGTAGCCTTCACACGATATAAGTGTGTCTCATAGCCCCGTGCTATGTTTAGCTAACTAACATTTCAAGTCTCAATAGCCATACTGACGTCGTTTGGTCTTTATGCAGTGGGGTTGTTAGCCTTGCAGCCTTACTCAACCTATCCTCTTTTCTGAGATTTACTCCAGCTAGTAAACTGGGCAACGTTTACGAATGCGCTTCAGCTGAGAATCAAAAACCCGGATCATCATTGTGGCTTACAAGCATTCAGACATGGAAGCACAGTTGCACAGTAATGTACAAATATCATAAGACTGTAGAAATATCAAAACCAGAAAATCAACTCATTTAGCTTAATGTTTTAAACCAGAACAGAATTGAAGTCTATTATGAAACAGTCGAGGGTTAAATAGGCTAAATCTTAACAAAAAAAACATTCATACAGTCTGACTGACAGACTGAGTAAATGGTTTCAAAATAAAACTTTGCACAGTTGTGCAGCAGTTCGAGTCACCACACTCCCTCCATGTAGCACACAAAGCAAGAGAAGAAAGTAAAAGGGAATGATAAAAACAGAGACAGTAAACAGAAATATGAGGCAAAGAGAATATTAATATCGAAGAACCATATAGTTTCACTGGGTATTATAAGTCACAAGGAGTGGATGCATCTGTGCCGGCCAGCCATTGACAACGATCACTTTAAGCCAGTCATATCAACAATTGTCTCAAACCATTTGCATTGGTTCTGGCCATCCCGAGGACCCCAACCAGTCAGGAAGTCTACACCTCCCTATGTGGCTAGCTGGCCAGCCGCCTTAAACTAGCTGTTGTGGATTTTATTAACCGATGAAGCCATGTTTTGGTTTGCCCACCACTGGCTCTTTTCAAACCAAACCCTATGTCAACTAACAGTGTCCATCGAGGAAAGCGATGGCTAGGCACATGTCCTAACCATCTCTCTTAATCGGTGTAACTTCACAGCCTCGTCGATTGATTTCCCCTCCCTCCTTACCTAGAACTCGACGCCTAACCTCAATATTGCTCACTCTACTATACCGCTTCACACGGGAGATAGAACTCAGGCACATATGATCAAAGATAGCTAACCAGACTTTCCATGTCTTCCACTCTCAATGGCCAGGTCTCACAGCCAGCCACTAAGGAGGACGGAAGGGACTGTTGAGCGGTACATACGCCCTTTGGTCGATTGCCAGTCGGATATCACGTCTACTAAGCCAGAGACGACGTAAACTGGCATATGCGAAACCAGCTTTCTATATCCATGCTGGGATTTCGTCAGCGATCAACCCGTTGGCTCTGGCTGATACAACTTCTTAAATAAACGAATTAAGTGGTCAAACACACTCTACCACTTCACTCGTGTCTGTCTTTAAGCTGGAAGTGGTCGATGTAGTCCAGTCCTGTAGGCTCATCATCTTACATTTGACAGCAGGCTGGATTTCATTGACTGATGAATCCATGTTTTGGTTTGACCACCACTAATAGCTCTTTTCCAACCTGATCCATCTCCTATGTCAGTTAACATTGCTGTCGATGAAGGTTATGGCTAGGCATGCATACGTAACACAACATGTCCTAACCATCTCAATCGATATAACTCCACTGTCTAATTGCAAACACTTTTATCAACATGCTTATAATTAACACATGACAGATTCAAAAAAGTAAAAATACAATTCGAGGAGACTTACATAATCAGCCGGTAGTTTAACAGGTGGATTTTCATCAACAATTTGTGTAAATACTTCAATAAAACGCTGGATTATTGTCGGCTCCAATTGAACACCTTGTGCACGTATAAGGGAACACTGAAGTTTACTACGCAATTCATCTAAATTCGATGCAGGTAATCTTTTAATTTGTTGAAAAGAAAAACAAAAGGAAGAGGATATGAAATAACAAGGAAAAAAGAATTCTCAAGTGTTAGAGTTTGAACAGCTGCGCTTCATCCTACTTTGTGACTCTTCAACAGCATGCACCCACCATATCAGCGCTAGGGACTGAACCTAAGACCTTCAGGTTACGATGCCAGACCTGTTGATCATTCAGACACTGAGACGGACTAACCGATGAATTCTAACTCCTATCGATTGATGATTGTTTGCGCCACTCACCAGCCAGCCAGCCAGCCATTGTATTTGTTATCACATCCTCCTTCATTGGAGCTACTAGTCACGAATTCTTAGTAGGACTTCAGGTAACTTCGTCGTGTATTCAGTCAGTCAGTTGCTAGTGAGCATTAAATCAATTTTCAAATGTCAGTACTTCCTGGTTTTAACGGCGGTTGTCTTAAAACTTAAGATACCAAAAACTTCCATCTCTCTAATGCATTTATTTTCCCTCGTTCTGCTTTTTTTTAATCGATTAAGATATGCAATTTGTGGATGGTGCCTAGCAGTGGAATCAATCCAGGATAACGCGCATTTCGTCCTATTTGAGACTCGTCAGCTATCGGGATGTACCTGCATTTCCCAGTGAGTGAGTGAGTGATGATGTTCCCACCGAGGCTAGAACCCAGCGCCCATAGTTTCAAACGCCAGCCAAAGCGTTATCCACTAAACCACTTGGGCCACGAGAACCACCTCTTGTGCAACGGGTCATATTAATTATTTAATTGAATTTTAGATTTTCCTGTCGATTGATTGGACCAAAGTGCTCGGTCTCAGGTTGACATCTCTGTTGGCTTCTTGTACAGATGCTTCGACGATGTCTGGGCATTTAATTAGAATTTAATTTGTGGATGGTGACTAGCAGTGGAATCCAGACATCGTCGAAGCATCTGCACAAGAAGCCGACATGTCAACCTGAGACCGAGCACTTCGGTCCAATCAATCGATTAAGATATGACCTATAATGGTATTACTGTCTACTCTTGTGTGTATTCAAATGTTTACAAGCTTCTGATTCGCAAGTTCCTGCTAAACTTGAGGAATGACCTGAGTATGCGTGGCAGTGTGTTCCAATACATGAGCTAACTGTTCTTCACTTATGTCCTTAGGTCTCAAAATGTACTTCTGAACATCTTACAATTGGCTTGCAACTAGACTGATATCGTGGACGGATTTCTTGAAGGAGACAAAGCAGATATATATATATCAAAATGAAATGAATGGTTTGTGCTTCAGTTCACAGACAGGATATACTGTCAATTAATTAACATTTTACTTGAAGATATCGTACGAAGAGGGAAATATCATACAATAAACTCCTCCGAAAATTCTCTACATTTTATAAATACTGTGCAGAATAGAGATGTTATTATTATTATTATTATTATTCGAATGGTTCTCTCACTGATGGTTGATCCCCGATCAAACTTTACACCAATAATTATTACTATTATATGCACGGAATATTATCAAAAGATTATTTATTATTATTCACAGAACTCAGTTACCCAGTACTGGTGTGGGAAGGGGAAGAGGGTAATTTTACTTACTACCCAGTTGACCATGCTGAAACAGATGAAGCAGGACTCGAACCCGAGACCCATTGACTGAATATCGGTTAACAAACGATACACCTACCATAAAAACCCTACTGAATAACTCAAAATAGCTCAATGAAAGTACAAAGAAAATAGTCCTGATATATACAGATGAACATCATCAATGATTTTCCTTCAGGACGTATTGTTAGTCTTTACACCCACCAGCAGAAACCAGCTATACATACAGACATCTGTGAACATCAATTCAACTAGAGGAAAATATATTAAATCTTCTAAAAAGCGTACAGCAAAAAATGCCAAAGAATTTCAAGAAACTTAGTACTCAAACGAATTTGTGATCAACACACACACACACATTGACACAAGTCAGATTTAGATGGTTAGAGGCAATCGGTCACAGGAAACCCTGCCTGATCTAGGTTTCGTGCTAGTTGGCCAGCAAGGCGTATTTGCAACCTCCAAGAAACTCATGTACCTTCTGAGATTCGAACCAGCGTCACTCAGTACTGACTTCAGTCAGAGACGTTAACACCACTGAGCTATCCGGGATGGGGATTCACTTTGTTTAGAACTGTTGTAATGAATACTGTGATTGGACACAAGATAGAAACTAGTCTAATGTGTGTCTAGTCCTTTATTTGGTTCAGACAGAATTCTATCAGTCGAGTAAGAACAACCACGCAGCCTAGGTTCATGCAAGGCTTCCAGACAATTGCCTCCAACCATCTAGCATCAACAATTCACAAATGGACACGGTGAAGAGGGGGGAGGCGTTGCGACTATCTCCAGTAAGAATAAATTACATCCAAATTCACTGAAAGAGACGGCTGACAAACTCAGGGAGCATTAATTCTAAACGCTCATTTCATAGTAAAGACAGTGTTGAAGATGATCTCTAGAAGGAAGGCAATGTAAAGACATCATAAGTGGACCATCCAACTCAACGAGTACAACGAAGCCAATGTCTGTCTATCTGCCTGTTTTCGACATAGAACTTTGCACATATGTGCGGCAGTTCAAGTCGCCACACTCCCTCCTTGTAGCACACAAAGCAACAGAAGAAAAAAAAAGGGAAATGTAAAACAGAGAGAGCAAACAGAGATATAAGGCGAGAATAGTAATACCGAAGAACCATATAGTTTTATTGGATATTATAAATCGCAAGGAGTGAAAGCATCTGCGCTATTGATAACGATTTTGAGCTATATCATCAATTATCTCCAACCACCGTCACTGGTTTTTACCATCCCAAGGACCCCAACCAGTCAGGAAGTCTACACCTTCCTACGTGACTGGCTGGCTTAAACTAACTGTTGTGGATTTCATTGACTGGTGCCATGTTTTCGTTTGACCGCCGCTAGCTAACTCTTTTCCAGTCTGACCAATCCTATGTCAGCTAACATTGCTCGTCGAGGAAGGCGATGACTAGGCATGCATGCACAACACATGTCCTAACCATCTCAGTCGATGTAATTTCACAGCCTCGTCGATTTATTTCCCCTCCTTACTTAGCATTCGGCGCCTAACCGCAATATTGCTCACCTTATTATACCACTTCACACAGGAGATAGAACGCAGACACCTATGATCGAGGACAGCTAATCTTTTCATGTCTTCCACTCTCAATGGCCAGATCTCACAGCCGTAAAGGAGGACGGACGATACCAATGCCATCAACTTTGAGTGACAAATCTTTTCTATCGTTTCTAGTTCAGCGAAAAACCTGTTTTCGATGATTTCATCCTTTTCGTTTTTTTTGTTTTTTTTTATTATCATTTACCTAACTACTAATGTTATCTTTTCTATTCGTTTGTTACGTAATGTATTCTAGCAGATATTTGTGAGCTCTTTGCAATAACAACACCTAATTTGGTTGGAGGATTTCATCATGAGCTGACATCGGTTAGAGAACCATCGGAAAACTTGGGAGTAGTGGAAGGCTGTTTCGTCAGCCCAGTTTGGGACTCTTCAGCAGTACGTACCCACTGCGCTGGGATTCGAAACCAGGAACTTCTGGTTACTTGATATGATTATGAGTGGCAATAGTCTGTGCTCGAAACGTGGTCATCAGTTAATATTACTGTATAACACTCCACTGTGTGATTTATCAAAATAAAATCTTATCCATAATGGAGTTATACTCTACCACGCAGTGCCTAAGTTTTATACTTATATTTTTTAAATTTTGATTTTGATTACAGCTTGATGCCACACCGTATTTTACGTAGAAGTATGGGATTTTCAGCATGTGATATCGGTAACCCAAATTTTGCAGGCCGACCATAGATATCGGGTGTTCGTCGACAGGGGATCGAACCTTCGACCATGTGCATGGTCGGTGACAGTCCTAACCACTGTGCCACCGACGCCATCGACAACTACAGAGCACAGGATGAAAATGCAAATGTACTTCTGAAGCCTTGTGCTCCACTCAGAACCCAAGGAAATAATCAATAATCAATCACCACCTTATTTTGCACAATTCGCTGTTTCTGCTTTATTGAAATTCATACAGGAGAATCAGTGTGTGAGGATTCTTTCCAATTACTAATCAGTATATGAAACTATGGTACATTGATTGGTGTATTCAACATTTCGACGAATGAAGATAAATTTTCCCAACCTCCCAATGAAAGAAACATCACGGAACAGATTGAGAAGCAGCTCACAGACGTCTTGAAGAGAATTAAGGCCAGTCAACTAATCAGTGGGGATATCTATGATCAGATCCGGCCAACAGGTTCAATAATACCAAGACTTTATGGTCTACCAAAGGTACACAAGGTTGGTCTCCCACTTCGTCCAATTCTTGATATGTCAGGTTCCCCTTACCACTCTATTGCAAAATGGCTAGCAGATATTCTGGAACCTGTAAGGAAACAATTATGTACGCACTCGCTCCGTGACACCTTCCAGTTCATCGACTGCATACAAGACATGAATGTATCTAACAAAATTATGCTGTCCTTCGACACTCAGTCACTTTTCACCAATGTCCCACTCAAGGAAACGGTCTGCTTCATATGCAAATATATAGATGACAACCATCTCAATATTGGAATACCAACAACATATTTGAAGGAATTACTACTGAGATGCACTCTGAACATCCAGTTCACATTCAACGACACCATCTACAGACAGAAAGATGGTATTGCAATGGGATCTTCGTCGGGTTCACTACTTTCATATTGCTTCGTGGCAAGCCTCGAGAATGGTTCACTAAAGCCAAGCATTGACAATTTACGACTGTATAAAAGATACGTAGACGACATATTGATTATTTGTGACAACAATAATGACCCCAATCTACTGATGAAGACATTTAACTGTGCCAATCCAGCAATAAAATTCACTCTTGAAATGGAAAACGAGTCAAAAATTCTGTTTGTTGATGTGGAACTAACAAGAAGAACTGACTGCAGTCTAAGAAGATTGATCCATAGAAAAGCTACTTGGAATGTTCAACTAACAAACTTCTATAGCTGGGTACCCATTCAACAAAAGCTGAATTTAATTAAATCACTTGCCAACCGCATCCGACGCATCTATAGTCCCGATGTTCTGGAAACAGAATAAGATCTTTTGAGAAAAATCTTCATCCAAAATGGTTACCCAATGAGATTTATCGACAAAAATATGAAACCGAGAATTCAGAGAAATGAAACTTCTTTTACGCCTAAAAAGAAACTCTACATGAACTTGGATTTCAAGGGAGATTTAACAAGTGATATTCTCAAGAGAAGGATCACATCTCTGAGAACAGCATTCTTTGCAGCAACGCTAAGAATAGTGTTCTCCAGTAGCCCACTGATCCGCAGAAGCTTCAAGGCCAAGTCCCCGCATCTGACCACTTCTATGTGTATGTATCAGTTCACCTGCTGCTGTGGAGCCAGGTACATCGGTCGCCTGACGCGCACCCTGTCCAAGAGGATTTAACAACACTATCCAGCATGGTTGCAAAAAGGTAATAGTGGTGCAATAAGGAGTGCGATAATTGAACACCTGATTAACACTGATCATTCCATCTCAACAAACGCCTCCTGATTCAAAGTAATCTACAGAGTCAAGAATAACCTATCAAAGGCAATACAGTTTCGTCTTCTTTGTATCGCTGAAGCTCTGGCCATTCACATAGAAAAACTGGAGCTGTGCATACAAGAAAAGAGGATTACTCAACCACTTCTACTGTCATAGTACCAACTTTTTTGATTTTTGACCATTTAATTTTGTTTGTTTGCGTGTTTATTTAATTGCTTATAATTCTTGTATTCACCTAGAACTCTTATGTAATTTCGTATTATCTCCTTTGTTCTTATGTGCATCTTGAGTAAAACTCACTCATCAAACTATTCATATTATTACATAACTTCTTTTATCAACTGTTTGTGACAACTCATCACCTTTGTTACTACCCTGATTTCATTGACATCTAATTTTCTTGACTGATTTTGTATTACGTAACTCCAATTACCAATCTTCACCTGTTTAGTTAAAATAACCATAACCAATTGTATTTTGTAAGGAAGCTGTGTTCAGAAGAAAAGATTGAGGAAGAACTATCTATTGTGGAGAAATGCCTACGCGAAAACGGTTACCCACAAAAGCTCATCGACAAGTATGGGAAACGTCATGTTGAAAAAGTGAAAAGCAGCACAGTAAAGAAAAAGCCCATCTTTCTGCAGCTTGCATTCAAAGGTGATGATACTGCTAGTAGAATAAGATGCAGACTGAACGCTGCCCTGAAAAGAACATATCCAGCCGCCAAGCTTGTATGTGTTTATCAAACAACTAGTTGTTTGAGACAATCAAAAGTGGACAAATACCCACCTCATATTACCTCCAATTGTGTCTACCAATTTACATGTACGTGCCAAAGCACATACATCGGAAGAACAGAGAGAAGGGTTATTGTCCGCATTTCTAAACACATACCAAAGGACCTGAGACTGAAAGGTCCACAAGTATTAAACAGTGCATTTGCGCGTCATCTATTAGACACTGGTCACAACGTAGACAACTTGAAGTCATTCAAAATAATCAACAAACAAAAGAAACCTAACTTGCTACGCTTTGCTGAAGCAATTGCTATCAGACGACTTAAACCAAATCTATGTACGCAGAAAGAGGCAGTGGTGAATCTTGCACTGCCCTGGTGACAACAAATTATACAACTTGTATGAGTCACCTTTTTCTTGTTTAGAAAACTCTACTCTCTCATCTAAACATGACTCACCCTACCTTGTTCTTTTCTCTTCCTTTTTTTCTATTGGCTATTAGATAAAGCATTTTCTTTAGTTACGTAATCTACCTTTTTGTTATGCTCTGTCTAGCTAAACCTTATTTTTATACACACACATATATACGCAACTCTGTTTTTGTTTCCAAGCTTAATTGTCTTATTATTCTATAAATAGTCAGTGTTTGTAACTCTTAATTAGTTAGATCATTCCGGACTAATGTTACTCTTACTTTCTACCAATTACTCCTTGTGATCGTGGAAAAGTATGTTCAAATCTTTAATATAATGTAATTCATATTTTTCATTGTTCAGGTTGTAACCAGTTGAGAAGAATCCTCGAAATAATAAAAGATGAGCTCACATATTATCCTGGTACAACTGTTGTTCTTGCTTTGTTCAAGTTTATTAATGGGAAGAATTGCATGAAATTGTATTTTTGTTTGACAAACTTAATGTACACATACTTACAAAATAACACATATATATATATATATATATATATATGCGATTGTACAGCTAAGTGTGAATGAATTCGCCGGCGAAAGAAAAGAGACTCTTCGCTGATCTACGTGTTTTGTTTTCATGAATGAATGAATATACGTAACAAGTTCGAGTCCCACACTCCTTCTAATTATGACCTAGGCATACAAATATGAGAAATATGCTCACACAAATTCCAAATTTTAATACTTACCCAAAACTAAGCAAACAAACTCCAGTATCTGTACGTACAAATCTAACCGTCACTATTGTCTGCTCACCTAAACTCTCTCCATCTGGCTGACCACCTTGTGTCAATGAACTTGGATCTAGTACAGAAAAGGCTGAAGCAACAATGGCAAGCATATTCTCTGAGGACTGTTTGACAATTTTAAATTCTGTCAGCCGTGTAGCCAGTATCCATGAATTAGTGACGATAAATCTACGACCTGACCAATTTGTTGATAAACTTCCGTGTCCAGCGACAAATTTATCAGGACGTTGGTATTCAGCATTGATTGAAGAGATGACAGCTTTCATACTGTAAAAAGTTGTTTTTTTTTTTAAATAAATAAATAAATTGAACAATCAGTAAGGAAAGCGTTAAAGGTTATTGTAAGAAGAGAAAACCACGAATAAATGAGACTGTGTGATATTGCATCATCGATTAAGACGCCTGGGACATGGTCTACTAATGCCAACTGACTATCTTCCTTGTGAAGAAATGTTAGCTGATGGTTATGAGAAAAGAGTTAGAGGTGGTCCAATCGAAATATTGCATCAATCCATAAAGTTGTTGATTGTCGATTTCAGATAAGTGGGTGACGGGCGGCGTTTAGACTGTCTCACTGCGGACGCTCCTTGAGAATTTACGAGCCAAAGGCAAAAGAATTTAACAAGACGTTTCTATTTTGATAAATCACACAGTTTTATACAGTAATATAAACTGGTGACCACGTTTCGAGCACAATTTATTACTGCTGCTCATAATCATATCAAGTCACTCACACCACGTTCTTGCTTTATTTATATACATGTGTGGAATCGATTAGATATTGGAATAAAAATCAATATAGGATAATGTACATTCAGAAATAATAGTAATATGAGTGTTATTGATCAATTACAATCAGATGGGAAATAAGACGAGTGTTTTTATAGTCAAAATAAGTAACTTGTTAGAATGGTGTGATGTGTTTGAATTGAAATAGAATTTTAAGATTATTTATTATCCGTCTCTGATTTGACTGACTGGTGGTAATAATATCTTCCATGCATATTTCTGGTATTTGCATTGAGTCATTTCTGTTGCACGTGTTGGGCGTAAATTCACCCAATGAACCAGGATTCAGTAATCAACCTGTCTCTCCACCTACCTGTATTACTTCTTAGAATTTTGACTGTGTCCCATCCTATTGTGTGGTTGTGTGTTAATGCATGTAGTGCAATTGCTGAGCATTTTTCTAAATTACTTATCTTCTCGGGGTCAACCATTCTTACCTTAGCTAAATTCTTATGTTCCCACAATCCGATTTCCCCTGATCTACTAATCTTATCTATACAGTTGACCCCACTTACAGTCATTGCAGGATATTTTGTAAATTACATTATTTTGTTTAATTGGGTCCACTGGGTCTTTTAGCCTACAGAGCTTGTCTCTGAGTGATTTTGTAGGTTTGAATGCCACTCGAATTCCTGCTTTATTGAGAATCCTACGTAGGGTCTCAGATGTACCCTCCTGATGTGGTATAACTCTAGATGCCTTATATTCCCTCTTATTTATGTCATCATTACTAGTTTTACAATTATTTTTAATTTGCTTTTGGTCTTTTCTGATCTTCCTAGTGAATTTTATAGGATAGTTATTCAACACCAACGCTTCTTCTATCTGTTTTATTTCGTCATTTAGGTCTTTTCTTGTGCTACTTAGTGCTACTGCTCGGTTTGTTAGACATTTAACTAAGCCTGCCTTAACAGTTAACGGATGAGACGAATTAAAGTCTAAATATCCAATATTAGAATGCGTTGGTGGGATGGGGTGGGAGATGGTTAAAATTCTAAAAAGTAATCTATGTAGGTGGAGAGAGGGATTGATTATTGAATCATGGTTCATCGAGTGAATCTACACCCAACACAACACATGCAATAGAAGTGACTCAATGAAAATACCACAGATATGGAAGATATTATTACCACCAGTCAGTCAAATCAGAGGAGGATAATAAATAATCTCTAAATTCTATTTCAATTCACCTACATGATAACATTCTAACAAGTTACTTATTTTGACTATAAAAACACTCGTCTTATTTCCCATCTGATTGTATTTGATTGGTAACACTCATTATTTCTCAATGTGCATCGGTGGCACGGTGGTTAGGACTCTCGTCGACCATGCATATGGGCCGGGGTTCGATCCCCTGCCGACGCACACCCGATATCTATGGTCGGCCTGCAAAATTTGGGCTACCGATATCACATGCTGAAAATTCCATACCTGTACCAAAAAATACGGTGTGGAATCAAGCTGTAACCAAAAGTAAAAAAAAAAATAAAAAATGCGCTTTATCTTATATTGATTTTATTCAAATGTCTGATCATCAATTTTTAATCATGTATACAAATGAAGCAAGAAAGTTGTGTGAGTAGTGACTTGATGTGATGATGAGTGGCAATAATTTGTGCTCAAAACGTGATCATCAGTTAATATTACTGTACAAAACTGTGTAATTTATCAAAATAAAAGCTTATCCATAATGGAGTTATGCTCTACCACACAGTGGCCAAGTTTTATACTCATATCAATAAGATGCATCTAACCAAAAATCAACTAACCAATGTTACAAAAAAACAAACATGAAGGATAGATCAATAATCTCTTCAAATGTATGTGAACATACCTGACCTTTTGACTTCATAATCCCACATTTATATGGACTGCTAAAAATCCACAAAATAGGATTACCTCTCGATCCTCCTTTTCACGGCAGTGGTCAGAGACCAGCTGAAGTATTGGAACCAGTGTGAAGGCAAGTATCTAAGTTTTCAATTAGCGATACATTTCAAATTGTTGAGGGTATTAGAGATTTTAATGTCTCAGAAGAGTTCATGTCCTCCTCACTATATATGACTTCGTTGTTCCCCAACGTAACCCTCATAGAAACTGCCTGATATATATGCGACTTTGATGATGCATTCAGTTTGGACATAGGATTTATTGTGATGCACATCTGACTTCAACAAAGAAATTTATGGGGAGATGGATAGCATTGTAATGAGATCACCACTGAAGCGACTGTTGGTTGCTTTATTTTATGTCAAAGCTCGAAAACACTCAGCCTAGTCAAACTATCAGTTGCTTTGATATTTACAGAGAATATATAGGCGACATGTTTGTTATCTGCGATTGATGCTGTTATTTTTGTTCCCCTTGGGTCCCAAGTTGAACGAACATAAGGCTTAAACAGTAGATTTCCACTTCGTCCTATTCTCTGCGGACCTATTCAGCTGACCCCTTTCTAAACGTTTTGAAATAATAATGGCGTTAGCATATCCGCAGCAGTCTCTAGATCCGTTTTCAGTGCTTCGGGGTAGGGGAATTCCGTATGGCCATGCTGCCCTCCCCGGCTTCAGTAGATTGATTGTACTCAAGATTTCTGCTTCTGTTGGAAGGCGGGGAAATCAGTCGACGAGACTGTGAAATTGCATCGGCTGAGATGGTTAGGACATGTGTTACGTATGACTAGTCATCGCCTTCCTCGACGGGCAATGTTAGCTGATATAGGGTCAGGCTGTCAAAGAGCTAGCGGCGGTCAAACGAAAACATGGCACCAGTCAATGAAATCCACAACAGTTAGTCTAAGCCGCGTAGGAAGGTGTAGACTTCCTGGTTGGCGGGTTGGGGTCCTAGGGACGGTAAAAACCAATGGTTGGAAACAATTTGGTGACATGGCTCGAAATCGTTCTCAATGGCTAGCGCAGATGCATCCACTCCTTGTGACTTATGATTTCCAATGAAACTGTTTTGTTCTTCGTTATTACTGTACCTTTGTCTCATACCTCTGTTTACTGTCTATATTATGCATTTCTCCTACTTTCTTCTTCTTCTTTGGCTTTGTGTGCTACATGAAGGGAGTGTGGCGACTTGAACTGCCGCACATATGTGTAAAGTACTATGTCGAAAACCGACCGACCTGGAGGATTGGTGTCCACTGGAAGTTGTGTGTGTGTGCTGTTGATGGTATTTCTGGACGATTTGCAGGTGATGGTCAATGGAAGAGTCCTTTTAAGTGATCAGCCCAACGTTTTATTTGTTTTTCCTCCATGGTAATCAGGTTCTGCTGAACATCTTTTATGGGTTTCCCATGCGTTGATCTCTTTCCAGAAAGAGAACTGGTTACCTGATATAATGTTCTGAGGTCTCTTTTACCTGCGCGCTACCTCTTCTGCTTCCCTTCCAAGTATATCGTAGAATTGTCTTTTGGCTTTCCTAGCACTCTTCCTCACTTCTTTCTTTAGTGCCATGTACAATGAAATCAGCTTCTCCTTTCTGTTATCCGTCTTTGCATTGGTCCATCCCAAGTTCCACCATTCTCCTCTCTTATATTAGCTTCCAGATGTCCATAGGGAGCCATTTTTTATCTTGCCTCTTCTTTCTTCCTAAAACGGTTGTACATGTTTCCTTGAACATCCCATTCAAAGAGTTCAAGTGTTCTTTCACACAGGTTTCCTCAGTGATGTCTCTGACTTCGCTCCGATGGCTGTGCTATAAAGGCGTAGTACTTGATGACATTTTGCTATTATTCAACAATTACCATCCATGCCTACAATTTGACACAGTAAATGAATTCAAACTAAGCATTCCTTTTCTTGATGTGTGTCCCACTAGACATAATGACCGACCCCTTAAAAAATCCATCAACTAAAAATGCACAAGGAATAGAAAACTAACTAATTCCCATAACTGAATGGATATCTCTAGGAAAAGAAATTTGATTCATTCGCTCTGATATGGGATAAAAAATATTTATAATTCTGACTGTGCTGACGTGGAATTTTCTTTCCTAAACGTCACACTTGCTGAAAACGGCTACCCAAACCAAACTAACTCAGTTCCAAAAGATACCCATCTTTGTGAATCTGAAATACAATGGTGATAAGGCTTTAGATATATAATCCAAAATCGTCTTTATAAATCAGTCAAGTGGAACGTTCTTTGAAGCTAAACTTCAATTGACCTTCAAAAGCCGTAGGTTGTTCGTTGTTTGCGATATTATGGCGATATTATTATTAATATATCATTATTATTGTTTCCTTTAGTTCCTAGAGTAGGAACATAGACCTTCACTACACGTCTCCATTGCGTTCGTTTTCATCACCTGACTTCACGTCTGCCCACATGCTTTTATCTCCAGTTCACATGACCTCCTCCTCCTCCTCCTTCATGTCACCCTCGCACTTACAACCAACTCGTCGCCTCCCGTTTCATTGGGGTTCCATTCGAGCGATGGCCAGGCGTCTGATATCACTCACTTGATGGTTTCTTTTTCTCAGAGCATGGCCAATCCACCTCCATTTACACCTGCATATCTGTTGCACAATTGCTTCCTGTTGGGTTGGTTTGTCGTCCCCAGAGATCCCTGTTGCTGATGTTTTCTGGTCGGTCATCTGATCTTGAGTAGTATTGAGAACACACAGCTGTTGATGGAGGTGTGTGGTTTGTTCGAAGTGGCCTTCGTGATGCAACGCAACGCAGCACCAAGTCTCTGATCCGTACAGTGAGTAGCACTGACTAATGGAGTTGAAAATCCGGATCTTATTTTTCATGCTGACAGTAATGAAGGCTTACCTTGCTTTCTCGATCCTCGCTGCTTTGATATCCTCATCAGTTCCGTCTGCTTGTAGTTGAAACGATGCTTCCCATGTCTGTCGGTCGGTCGGTCGGTAGGTAGGTAGGTAGGTAAAGGATGTTGCTTCTTTCACATTTCCCCCATTTATTCTGGCTGATTGTTGTCTGTTGTTGTTGCTGTTTCTGTTGGCCAGGAATTTTCATAATCACCTCTGTTTTCTCTATGTTCACCTGAAGTCATATCTTTCTTTGATGCTTTTTCTGCCGACTTGCTGCTTTTCATCACTTGCACATCTTCCAGTTTGTGGGAAATCAGACATATATCACATCGATGAAATAAAGATCCTACAAGTTTTTTTGTATGGGCCCATTGTATGCCTGTCTCCTCGTTGCACGCTGTGTGTCTATCACATTATCCAGTCTACCGGAATCAGGAAATTAATCATTGGAGATAGTAGGCAGCTAACCTTGTCTTACTCCCGTCTTCACTCCGAAGGATTCTGTGAGTTTCCCGTTGTGAATCACTTGGCATTCAGCATTATCGTACAACTGTTGAATTGTGGTGCATAATTGTTAGTGGCACCACGTAGTCAGCGCAGTAGTTTCCGAAGGACTGGTGATAGGCATGAATCAAATCCACAATTTTCAAATTTGCTAGCAATTTGCACAGTGTACACAGTTCGAGGGTGAGGTGAAATTTTCACCAACAGAGGTGATGATGAAGATTCCTGGCCAACAGCAACAGCCACAGCAGCAACAACAACAACAGACAACAATCAGCCAGCATAAATGGGAGAAATCCGAAAGAAGCAACCTCCTTCACCTACCCACCTACCGACTTACTTACATATCTATCTGGGAAGCAGCGATTCAACAACAGGCTGACCAAACTGATGGGGATATCAAAGCAGCGAGGATCGAGAAAGCAAGGCAAGCTTTCATTTTTCTCATGTCTGTGTGGAGATCAACAGCACTCAGCACTCAGCATGAAAAATAAGATCCGAATTTTCAAGTCCAATGTGAAATCAGTGCTACTTTATGGATCAGAGACTTGGCCAGCGCGTCATAGAGAGCATCTCAAACAAACTACACACCTTCATCAACAGTTGTCCCCACTCAATACTCAAGATCAGATGGCCAGTGAGAAAAGATCAGCAACAAAGATCTCTGGCAATGAGTGAACCAACACAGCAGGAACCGATTGTGAAACAAACAGGCAGGAAGAAATGGAGATGGATTGGCCATACTCTGAGGAAATAAACCATCAAGTGACATCACACGCCAAGCCATTGCTTGAGTGGAACCCGACAGAATGGGAAGTGGCGAGTTGGTCGTCAGTGCAAGGGTGACATGGAGGTCATTTGAAGAGGAGATGACAACGTGTGGGCAGACTTGGAGCCATGTGAAGACTCTAGCAGAGAACTGAACTCAATGGAAACCTATGTTCTTCTAGGAACTAAAGGAAACAATTCATCACTTTACGTGACCTTCAGAAAAGAAAAAATAGGCGAAAGGAGGAAATTGTAGCATTTTCACCATTGATTATGATTTTTAGAAGAAACGGACAATGTCTCGGGTCATCGATCCGGATTGTCTACATCAGAAGCCAACTAGAGAGTCGTGATGCACCAACAGATGCTAACCTACTAACACAGTTATCCTTCCCTTCACAGTGCCACCTCATGGGCTGAGGGTTAGCAAACAGTGAACGACACAGGAGGTGCTATGATGACATACGCAGTACATGTCCGAGGCAGTGAGATGAGAATACTTATTGAAAGACGATCTCCACTATGTGTGAACACATACCACCAGACGTCAGAATTACTCACATGATGATACTGTCGGGTGCGAGCAATTCTATGGAGACAGCGATAATCGGACATGCAGACTCGTCACACATCCTCCAACTCGAACGTCAGGTCTCACAGACGTACAGCAAGACTGTTCGCAACGAAGAATTTGTAAACCCAACATGTGACGATCAGGCTAACGGAGAGACAGTAAAAACAAGGGTGGCCCAATTTGGCGTGTGCCACACAAGAGGTGATTTGGCAACTACTTCGCTACTACGGGGTGCCGCCGACAATTATACATCTCATCCAACAGCTGTATGACAACGCTGCATGCCAAGTAATCCACAACGGGAGGCTCACGAAATCCTTCGAAGTGAGGACGGGAGTGAGACAAGGCTGTCTACTGTCACCAATTATCTTCCTGATTGCAGTTGATTGGATAATGCGGCAGACAACGGCAACCAACGAGGGAACAGGCATAAAATGGACCGTCACAAAAGCCTTGGAGGATTTGGATTTCGCCGATGATATATGTCTGATTTCCCACAAACTGGAAGATATGCAAGTGAAAAGCAACAAATTGGCAGAAGAAGCAGCAAAGATAGGACTTCAAGTGAACATAGACAAAACAGAGGTAATGAAGATTCCTGGCCAACATCAACAGCAACAACCGACAACAATCAGCATAAATGGGAGGAACCTGAAGGAAACAACTTCTTTCACCTACCTGGGAAGCATCGTCTCAACTACAGGAGGAACTGACGAGGATATCAAAGCCAGAATCGGAAAAGCAAGACAAGTTTTCATTTCTCTCAAGTCTATGTGGAGGTCAACAGCATTCAGCGTCAAAAATAAGATCCGTATTTTCAACTCCAATGTGAAGTCAGTACTACTATACGGATCAGAGACTTGGCGTGTCACAAAGAGCAGCTCAAACAAGCTACAGACCTTCATTAACAAATGCCTTCGCTCAATACTCAAGATCAAATGGCCGGAGAGGATCAGCAACAAAGATCTCTGGGAGCGAACCAACCAGGAACCGATCGTGAAACAAATAGGCAGGAAGAAATGGAGATGGATTGGACACACTCTGAGGAAACCAGCAAGTGACATCACTAGACAAGCCCTCGAGTGGAACCCGAAAGGGAAGCAACGAGTTGGTCGTCCAAGGGTGACCTGGAGGAGATCATGTGAAGAGGAATTGAAAGCGTGTGGGCAGACTTGGAGCCAGGTGAAAACTACAGCAGAGAACCGAACGCAATGGAGACGCATGGCTGAAGCCCTATGTTCCTCTAGGAATTAAAGGAAATAATAATATAATAATAAATATATACACAAGCACACACACACCTCCACCAGCACTCATACAAATAAACGAATGGGTTTTAGTTCCATACTGTTACACTAAGTTGCCCGATTTATTTTCATGAAGTAATCTGTAAACCCAAAGAACACACATATCAACTGGACTTACGTAGTATCAAGAGTACCATTTGATAAGGAGGGGGAGGAGGAGGAGGATGACGGCGATGAATTCGCTGCAGCTGTTGTTGTTGCCTCTGCTGCTGATGATGACGACGATGATGACGATTGTATTTCAGATCTTAATTCCATCGTAATGATTTCTTTTAAAGATAAAATTGTTGGATGACCATACCAAGTACCAGATCCATACCATACCAGATAAGTATGTGTACCTATAATTGATAAACTGGCTATACCAATCCATAGAATTACATCCCATATTGTAAATGGCATTGATGTATTTGGTGCTGCTAGTGCTACATTCTTAGACAGCGATTGCATAAACATAAAGTAAACTAAAACAAAAAAGATTTGGGGAGCAGGAGAAAAAAAGAAGTACAAATAAAAGGGAATGATTCAATTAAATGGTAGGGCATATTATCTGTAACCTAGGATACTTGTATTATTATTATTATTATTATTATTATTATTATTCAAACACAAATTTAGTACATTATGGGCATCAAGTGACGCGCAACACAAAATCGTATAGTTTATGAGAGGACTGGGCTGCCTGAACGCCCAGATCGAAAATTGTGACTGACTGACTGGTTTCAAAATAAAACATTGCCCAGATGCGCAGCAATTCGAGTCGCCATTCTACCTCAATGTACCACACAAAACAGGAGAAGACAGTAAAAAGAGATTCAAAAGAGAGACATAATAAACAGAAATATGAGGGAAAGAGAATAGTTATATAAAAGAACAATATATTAATTGGACATGACAAGTTACAAAGAGTGAATGCATCTGTGCCAGCCAGCCATACCACCAATTGTCTCCAGCCACCGTCATTGGCTCTTACCATCCCGAGGACCCCAACCAACCAGCCAGTCGGGAAGTCTACACCTTCCTACGTGGCTGGCTTAAACAAACTGTTATGGATTTCATTGACTAATGAAGCCATGTTTTGGCTTGACCACCACGTGCTAGCCATTTTCCAACCTGATCCTATGGTAGTTAACATTAACGGTCGAGGAAGGCGATGGCTAAGCACGCGCAACACATGTCCTAACCATCTCTCTCAATCGATGTAGCTACTTCACAACCTCATCGATTGATTTCCCCTTCCTCCTTATCTAGCACTCGACTGATGCTTAAACTCAATATTCCTATTATACCATCTAACACGGGAATATTTGAACGTCTATACTCCATTCAGACCTTTCAGATTCTGGAACCCATCTACGCCACAGGTTTGCAATCAGCGTTTCCCAACTCCCCTAGGCAGACTTGCATGTCCACCGGTCCGCCTTTAAGTATCAGACATTCAAATTTTCCCTTCCACTTTAGTGAGGAACACTCGTGACGCGTGAGGGGAGTGAATACAACTTACCTGTCTGAGAGCATTTCTAGAGGAAGATCGAAGTCGTTTATGCGGGAAACTTAGGAAACTAGTCGAAACCTTCTTCAGGCAAAACCCCTCTGAGAGATGATAGACAAAGCTTTCAATCATGTCTTAGTCACATGTTTCAGCAAGTTTTGTAAGGTAGTAAAGATTGTAAATTTATTATGCATATTTACAAGAATCTATCTGATAGGAATAATTGAATTTTGCAAAGTAAAACTTCAACTAATCAAATTACTGACTAGTTGAGTCTACAAATAAAATTTCGCATAGAAGTGCAGTACAATAGTCCAGGTTAGCATATTCTATGTACCACACAAAGGAAGACAAAAGAGAGACAGAGAAAACAAGAGAGATTCAAAAGAATGAGAATAAGCACAAATGTACGGGAGAAGGAGTAGTAACACAGAAAAATACGAGGATTTAATACATCTCATAGATTACAAAGAATAAATACACCTCCGCCATTAACACGGATTTTGAGCCATATCACCAAATAGTCTCATCAAATCCCTGGTTTTTAGTCTTTGAAGGACCCCCCCCCCCTAACCAGGCAGTTTTTACACTTCAAACCAACCGTCAAAGATTTCATGGAATGGAGTGATTCTACGTTTTACTTTGAGCACTAGTTTTAACTCGTTTTCAAAATAATCTTATATCGGATCTCATATACGTCAACGAGGAAGAAGGTGGCTGGGTGTATGTGTAACAGCGCATGTCCAAGCCACTTCAAACAATGTAGCATCACAACATCATCGATTGACTAAAACTCATAACCTAACATTCTAAGCTTTAATCTCAATAATACTACTCACTATACAATACCACTACTTCACATGAGGGATAGATAGACAGCTAAAAACGAACAAACTTTCAATCCCGAATTTCTACAGCTTGTAAAAATATAAGGGCAGTATACACAATATATAAGCCCCCTTCGCTAGTAAACGACCTATTCTTTCTCTCGAAATGCTCTCATGTGACCTCGCACTGATAGCATCTATCAGGTAAGTCTTATTCACAGACTTCACGTGGTAACGGTGATCCTCACAAAAGTGAAACGGAGAATTCGAACGTCTGGTGCTTACCGCCGAACTGGTGGATAAGCAAGTTTACCTAAGGGAGCTGAGAAACCCTGATTCAAAACCTATCATGAACAAGGCCACCAGAATTCGGAAGGATCAAGTGACGTATGAATCAGATTGTGGTAGTCGGACATCGTGGGAACGTTGCTACTCCTGATGCTTCTCCACCACGCTGTTAATCAGACTTCTGGTCAAAGGCTCGGTGGGAGGGCGGCCCCCTAAGAAAACCATCTGCTTCAATCTGGACGTCCGGGCAGCATCCCAGCTATCGCACAAAATGAGACAATAATTTGTCGTCTTATTATTTTCATGTGGTGCATATCTTTTTGCCCATTTTTGTTCCTCTTAGATCCCCAGTGGAACATATAAGGCTTCAAGCTAGAGGCTTGAAGTTTCGGTAGCAGTGGTGTTTATTCACTTTTACGGGATGGGGTTGCTAGCCTCATGCCCAACTTCCTCTCTTTACAAGTCCTATTTCTGGCTTTGTGAGGTAAAGGAGGAGTGCGTGCGTGGCCAGGGCTCGAACCCCGAGCCACTTGCATGGTTGGCGAGCAACCTACCGCTGTGCCACCGACGCACCCTTTTGCCCATAATGTACCAAATTTGTTTTAATAATGATAATAAATGCGTCGGCGGCACAGAGGTAGAATGCTTGCCAACCAAGCCTCATGTGGTTGGGGGTTCTATCCCCAGCCACCGACACACTCCTCCTTTACCTTGCTAAGCTATTAATAAGACTTGTAAAGAGATAAAGTTGGGCATGAGACAGGCCAGCAACCCCATCCCGTAAAAGTAAAAAATAAACACCACTGCTACCGAAATTTCAAGACTCTAGCTTGAAGGCGTCCTATGTTTCAGCACCGGAAACGTAAAGAAATAAATATTATTAATAAATTCATGGATAATCCCCATCCAGGCATTAATGAAAACAAAACACGTCGTAGTTCAGCGAAGTCTCTTTTAAGTGAATTCATTGATTGTACAGCTAAGAAAATGAATTCGCTGAAAAGAGACTCTTCGCTGAACTGCGTGTTTTGTTTTTAATAATAATAAATACATGTAGGTAGGTAGGTGTAAGTAGTACACAGAAACAATAGTTTCTTTAAAACCCTTACCAAGCAATATGACATGAATACTGAGGATAAAACAAAAACAACGACACCAAGGAGAAGAAATACTTACGAAATATTAATGAAGATGAAAATATTCGTACCATAACTGTTCTCTTCAGATGATACTGAACAAAATGCATATTTTCATTGCCAAGAAATCGATTAAAAAAATTCTCTAGCGTTACACCAGCTGAGATAAACTCTGTTGTCGGCGCCATAATACAAAATACGAAAAGACCAAATAGCAGAGAGTAGAGAGCATCGAAGGAGTCAAACGATGAACTGGTGAAAAGTGTATTCATCAATGGGAGTATACTGGCGCCACGACTACCACTGCCACTACCACTGTCCATTCTGCTAGGCTAACTGTCTATCACGTGTCTATCCGGATAAGGCTGAGAATCAGATGGACTATTCCGAGGATAATGATAAAATGACACAGTAGTGATTAAATGCACAGTTGACACAATGTTAGTGATACATTGAACAATACTGACATCGAAGACGTTCGCAATTTGTTTCTGAAATTGTAAATAAATTCTTTTTTAATGATTGCATAAAACTCTTTTCAGTTAATTAATTAATTAATTGATTAATTGGACAAATTAATTTCAAAAAGTCGACTTCAATTCTCTTTAATTATAGGGAATAATAAAAAGACAGTTACAGCGGAGAAAATTTTCTTTTCGACGAAGTCACCGTCAACTAGATAGCTGTACATTCGTGTATATTTATAATAAATGGGTAGGAAAGTTCCGGAATAATTTCTGGTCAAGGGTAAGATTAATAGAATTACAATTAGGAATTAAAATGCCATAATAAACCGTTGGGAGGACGGTTAAAGCTCAGACAAAGTAGCATCATAATTACTGAGATGATTGACATTGATTGTGCAATTGGAGGTTAGAAATGTAGGAATAACAAACGTAGACAGGATGTTTGGATAAAAAATCTAGTGGGATCATAACTAATGTGACGAATAATTGTTTATGCAATTAGGGATTAAATATGTAGAAATAATAAAATGACAAAATAGACAGGAAGTTCAGATATGAAAATATGGTAGTGTAAATAGGGATTAAGAAAACTTTAAAAATAGCATGAATAAACAGGAAGTTTGGATAAGAAAGTCAATGGGATAGTCACTATTAGAAGAATTACCTGTTTATAATGGCCATGGCAGGGACAAGGGTTGGACGTATTTCTTTTGTATACATAGCGTGGGTACGTTCAACCCTTGTCCCTGCTGTGGCCATCATAAACAGGTAATTCTTCTAATAGTGACTATCCCATTGACTTTCTTATCCAAACATCCTGTCTACGTTTGTTATTCTTACATTTCTAACCTCCAATTGCACAATCAATGTCAGTCTTCTCAGTAATTATGATGCTACCTTGTCTGGGCTTTATCTATCCCCCTGTTTATTATGGCATTTTAATTCCTAATTGTAATTCTATTAATCTTACCCTTGACCAGAAATTATTCCGGAACTTTCCTACCCATTTATTATAAATATACACGAATGTACAGCTATCTAGTTGACGGTGACTTCGTCGAAAATAAAATTTTCTTCGCTGCAACTGTTTTTTTGTTCTTTTTTATTGTGGCAATAAAATAATACAGAAATGGAAAGAAAAATCTCGGTCTTAGCAAATAATAATTTCCCTTAAAAGATACACGCATGTATCTGGGTATGTATGTATGTGTGTGTGTACGTAACACTTGCAGTAGGATAGTAAAGCTAATGAGATAGGACCAACTGAATGCATCAGTTAGAACCTAACCAATGATAGCTGATACCTTGACGTGGTCACGCGGAATTGCATACCGAAATGACTTAGCGAGAAACTCCCCATTATCTACCTCCTTAAAGAACATGTGCCACTTTACTCTTTGGCCTTTCCAATCACACAAAATTAATGTTTCTTCTCTTTTGGTAACCACACGGAGAAATCAACTCCCACGTTTTCGACTGCTAAGAAGTATCAGCCGTCAACACACTTCGGTAAGCGTACAAAACTTGGCAAACTTTAGATAGGTTGGAGGATTTCATCATGAGCTGAAATCGGTTAGAAAACCATTGGAAAACCTGCAGGGAGTACTGGACAGCCAGCTGTTTCGTCAGCCTAGTTAGGGACTCTTCATCACTACGCACCCACCGACAGGGTTTCAACCCAAGACTTTCTGGTTACAAGGCGCCCTAGCTCGTAGACCATTAAGCTACTGGAACTCGACCCAGTAGCCAGTGCATGAATTCCAAATTTGGCCAACTAATCAAACAAAATCCCTACAAAACCAATACTTCAAACTTTAGACACTTAAGGGATGCGAACGCACCTAGTACCTTAGAAAGAGGCATAGCGCTGAAAGGTAAATTTGGACCTAAATATCTCCCTAATCAAAGCAATTCCAAGTGTCAAGAACTGGTACTCTGTCTTCACCTAACCATTTAACTACCGGCTTTGTAACACTCAGAAAAATGAATATGGCAGTACAATCAGTTCACTGTTTAGTCAACTCTTTTAATTCACCACTACGTCTAAATGGTTCGCTTTGCATGAAACATTTATGTATACAGGATTTTCACAACCATAAAGACATTTTACTTTCCTCTAGTTTTAATACAGTAAAACTTCGGGATCACGGTATAAACCTTGTAAAACAAGATGTTTCAATCGGCATTGATATTGGAAATGTGACATTTATTCAATAAGCAGCCAGATGAAATATAATAAACTCTACAACAAGAGACAGCAAGCGAACGATATGTTTGTTTAGTTGCTAAAGAAACAGCATGATGAGTGTCTTTTTTAAAAGTTTCAAAAGTAAAACCTAAATTATGTCTTCCAAAAGAAATTTCAACTATAACTTATCACCACCTAGGTAAGCACTGACTTGTTCACCTTAACTCAGAAAGCTTCTTTCGATTTTAATGACTTCATATTTAAGTTTATCTACTTTATTAACACCATTTATGATCTTGGATCTCTTTCATTTTGTTTGAATAATTCTCCACACCTTCATGAGACAAGAAAATCTCTCTGTACAACACGATTTCTTTATTTTGGTCAAAACCGATTAATCTAATTTATCTTCGTCTGTAGTATGTTATTCTACTCCAATGAAAATGTACCAGCTATTCAGAATTTTTTTTAAACTAAACTGCCATATTCACTACTTGTATGTTCTATTATTCAGGCAGCGAGCAGCGGAAGAAAAACCCACAAGATTTACCTTATCCTGACAAAGGGATTTGATTACATTATTCTAAAGTAATTTTACGAACCTTCAGTAACAGACTTTAAATGCGACAAATGGCGTCACTAGTAGCATACGACCTCATTGTTAACGAACCAATAACACTTAAGTGGGCCATTTACAGAGGAAAATCTCTAACAGGCTTGTTGAAGAAGGTTCACAGTTGAAAAGAAGATGATAAAGTTACATACGAACATGTAAACAGAGAATGCCCGGAAACTACACGAAACGTGTTCACGTTCAAGAGACCGAAACCCAAAAATGGTTGAGAATGCTGAAAGGTTCACATTACAAAGTTATATTTAAAATTTGGAGGCTTTAAACTTATCAAATACCAATTCCCTAACAATCACATCCATTTTCAAAATCCATGCAACAGAGAATTGTCCATAACTTCACGTAACCAGCTATTCCGTGAGTAAACAGACGTGGACCAGAGTTTTCCAAAATACGAAAAATCTATCATTTTTATTCTTTCAGCTAAAACATATAGACTGTGCGTACGACCAGTAATATTAACGTCTATACAGTTGCACACAATTACATATATGTGAAATTGCATTCATCCAAAAACATTATGAATGAAACAACACTTAAACTAATCAATATCGATTCGACATCAGACATACATAATTTCAGTCCAGCAAGAACTAGCTATAATTCTAATTCCTGTAAACTAATTCCAAACACAACCCCAGTACCGTCTAGATTCGCAATGCCGCGCTTGCAGAAAGGTAACGTGTATATAATTGCATATCCAATATCGTTTTTACGAGCTAGTATAAACCAATTTGATTTCTTTATGCTCGCCTCTTGATTGTGAGGTATAGATTCCTGATCTTCGGTAAACTGCGTAGCTCGTCCCGCCACTCGACTGTCGTAGCTTTGGTTGACTCCAAAAGGAGGAGTGCAGGGATTAACTATATGTGGTTTGTAGTATGAGGGGTGTTAAGACTGTTACTACTGTGAATGGAGTTGATCCTTCCACCAGTTAGTCCTCCTGTGTCGTCGTCAAAAGAAAAGAGATAATAATAATAGATATAATTGGTGAAGTTATTCAGACTAACAGACAGAAAAAGAATAAGAAAACGTAACAACAGTCAGCTGATTAAATTTGAAGGATAATATGAATAATATATATGTATATACATATATATACCGGTAATAATGATAATAATAATACGTGAAGTTAAAGCCGTCAGGAGAGTAAGACGGGAGAGAATGTAAAGAAATAAAACGACCAGTTTAATTATCTACCTTTGAATGGTGTATGCGATTTTAAGGGGATAGGCCATTTGGATGCAGTCCTTGTGTCGCTGCATGGTTGTCCAGCCTTCGCTCAAAGGCGTCCGCAGACGGTGCCATAGCTACATCTACTGGTAAGGAATTCCAGGGACGGCAAACCCGCGGGGAAAAGAAGTGGGAGCGCACCCGGGTCCTTGCCCTCTGATGAGCTATCCTTCTAGGATTTCCACGAGGGAGCCTATACCTACTCAATGGCAGAACACCTTTGTTTGGGTGATTCTGATCATTTGTTATTTTGTAGGCAGTAATCAAATCCCCCCTAAGACGACGATAGCTAAGTGTGAATAGGCCTAATTTCTTCAGCCTTTCATCATATGGTTTATTTCGGAGACCAACCACTCCTTTTGTTGCCCATCGTTGGACTCTTTCCAAGAGGGTGCAATAATATTATGCACTTCAAGGTGTGGTCTGACGTATGCTTTGTAAAACCTCAGAAACAGCCCAGGAGTGAGTGCACCTAACTGTCTATGTGTGAAGTGTATGACCGCATATGCCCTCGCTACATTCCCCGTGTAATTTACGCTTGTGTCCATTTTCTCCGTTAGAACTGGACCTAAGCCACGTTCTGACGTGCAGGACAAGCTTTCATTGCAAAGGGTGTAACTTGCATTCTGCAGTCTACAGGTGCGTAACTTCACTACCTTGTACCTTTTCAGGTTGAAAGTCATGCCACTGGCCACCGCCCAGTATTCCGGAAGGTTAAGATCTTCCAGTAGCCTATCTGAGTCCTACGAGCACTTTATCGCCCTCCATATCTTCACATCGTCAGCGTATAGAAGAGTCGGGCAGCTTAGACGGCATGGTATATCACCGATAAAAATCAAGAACATCAGTGGTTCCAGGATAGAACCCTGAGACACTCCTGATGACGAGCTGTGCCAAGATGATCGGACTCGATTGACCTTAGTGCAAAATTGCCTTTCAGCTAGGTAGTCCTTTAACCATGACAGAAGTGGTTTACCTATACCTACCTGGCTTATTTTGTGTAGGAGAAGGTCATGGTGAACAATGTCGAATGCCTTCTCAAAGTCTAGGAAGACCAAATGGACTGGAACATTCATATCCCAGCATGATGTCCAATCGTCACAAGCTGGTAGTAAGTTAGTAACGCAGGATCTCCCTTTCCTGAAACCGTGTTGGGCTTCATGGAGTATTTTAGACCTATCCAGATATTCCCTGATGTGATCGTCAATAAAACCACTGGGAATAGAGCTACTGGTCTATAACTAGTGAGATTTTGCCTATCCCCACCCTTGAAGATCGGAGAAAGGATGCTTCTTTTCCACTCCCTTGGCAGTTTCCCCGATTCCATTGCATGTCGGAACAAGTCGCATAAGGGCCTACAGAGAGCTTCGGTGCACCGTTTCAGAACAGATGGCCTGATGTCGTCACAACCTGGAGACTTCCCAGTTGTGAGTCGCTGTAGCTTCATTAGTACTATTGCGGGGTTTATTCGGGGAGTAGCCACTAGGTCTTCCTCCTGTGAAATAGTGGTGCCACCATTTTGGTCCGTAACGGTAATACCCACATTGCTGTTTAGCTGTTTGGCGAAGGCTAAACTGAATGTTTCAGCCATCTTCAGACTAGTGAAATATTGACCATTTGGGCCTATCAGATAAGTTTATTCCGAATATCACACAGTGATACAGTACTGGCAGCTGGATTATGTTTTGAGAACAAATTATTTCCTGTAACCTTATCACTTAGTCACATGGCTCCCCTTGTTGTTTGTCGCCACTTGCCATATCTCCAGTATAGGCGTCACGTCACTTCGATTTCACGTGTATACTGTTGAATGCATTATCACAGACTCAGTGATCAACATATTCCTCCACCAAATTATACTACTGTTCAATATTTTCACTCTGTCACAACCTACTATCTGATTATATACTACTGAATGCAATGCAATGGCTGAGCATTTTTCTACGTTATTCAGTTTGCGTAGGTAGATAATTACCCAGAGTCGCTGGCCACAGTATTTGTCACTAAACACTGGATGTTTGTTTGGCTGAAGGTTCACAGTCAAGCACCAACGCCATTTGTCACCCCTAGCTATTTAGGCAGTCATCTTCACACTTTTATTTTGCTCCAGGAATATACTTCGTAATTTGCACGATCAGTTCTTGTGTTTTGCTTGGCCTTTCGGTTTACGCGGAAGGAATACTATGAAAGCTGTTGATAATAGATCTTGCGTTAGTGTATGTCGTACAATCTGTTAACTTTAATACTCTCAGGCTGTAAACTGATGGACCCCGTCGCGAACTTCATTTTTGCCAAACGCGCAGACGAATTCGGTGAGTTCATTTCATTTTGTATTTGCTCTTGGGTTACATTTAGTATATTTTTAGTATTTATTTTTGACCATTAGTGACCGTACGCCCTATGGTCATCCGTATCCGACCTACCTGCACCACCATTCAGCTACTGCCGTTTTGATAAAGAAAGGTAGACGAAATTTGCAGTTTTGGCCAGATAATGCAGAAGCAATGGTTTCTGATGGCCGAGTCTGACTTCAGTGAACATGGGGTCACTGATCGATGTTCACAGTTCCTTACAGTTACCCACGCTCTGCCGCGGGAACTAAATGGATACGTTACCGTGCAACTGTCTAACCCAGAGGTGAGCAACCCCCACGAGATGCTTAAAGCAGCCCTGATTAAGTGGAACGATCTCTGGTAGTGGCAACGCCTTGATGAACTTTTTCGCAATGTCGAGTTAGGCGACAAATCGTCTGGATACAAGCTAACACGAATTTAGAAAGTCGCTGGCCAACATCATTTCATTAAGGGACTCTTTAGACAGCTGTTCCCATCTAAGTTGCCACGGCCAATACAGGCTGTGCTTGTGACATTCAAGGTGTTATTATCGTCGGTTTAGTCACTCCTGCGAGTAGAATTCCAAAAATATCACAAAAGCCAGTCGCGGAAATGTGCCGAATCGATAAACAGTCCTCTAGTAGTGACAATGAAGTGGCAGAGTCATGTAACTCCATTTAACTACTACTCAGGTCAAACAGCTTCTGTCTATCTCCCTACCGTCGACGGAATTCGCCTTAACATAGGAACTCATGTGGTCGGTCAAAATTTAACCACGTTCACCTAAAAACCCTGGCTGGTGTTATTATTGCAATATCTATGGCCAAGAAGCGAAATGTTGCTGAAAACCTTTCAATTTTGGCGATTACTAGAAGACTATGGGAAACTATCCCGCCAATCCGCATTGGCGGTAACTATCACCAGTGGCAGTAGCCACCTACTACACATCCATGATGTAGTCAACCAGATCCAGTACTTGGTTGAAACAGGTGCTGAAGTCATTGTCCTTCCTGCTACAGAGGCAAATAGACAGAAGGAACCTGTCTTTAACTTAGGGGGTGCGAATGGAAGACCTGTTGCAAAATTTGGTAGGAAATACGTCCATCTGAACGTAGGTTTACGCAAACTACCTCCTTGCTGACATCACAATACTTATCACAGGAAGGGACCTACACAACCATCATGATCTATTGGTATATGTCCTCCGGGAACGAATGGTGGACGTTGCCACTAAACTGTCTTTTAAAGGTATCACCTGTTTAGTTCACAGCTTTTCACTGGCTAGGAAGAAAGAGATAGTCAATCCAACATTTCGGCTGATTGTTGAAAAGTACCCAGAACTGGAGCAGTGCCTGACAGCTGCCGTTCAATTTGGGTAAATGTGGTATCCGATACTTCAATGACTTCCACCACAGTTTCAGGTTATACCCAGGTGACTTTTTTCTCCAAACCCTCAATCCCATAAAAGACCTAGGCGTCACCTACTCAAAAACCTTAGCATTTAGCAAAATCAGTTGTTCCTAGTCGTCGAATGTACACAGGATTGTTACACCGAAAACTTTGCACGATTGAAGCAAATTTCTCCTATGCAAAGTCGTGGTGTTAAAACAGAAGGCGAGATACGAAAGCCAAGGTGTATATTTATTTGATGGAACCGCTGTTTATTTATGTACTGTTTATGTTCTTTAACCAATCACTGAGCGTGTGATTTCGGCTTACATCAAACATGAAACAGAATGTTCAAACACACGTAGTATTCTGTTACTAATACAGTATGAAACTGTTGGAAAGTATTCTGTCTGCAACATCAAACCGAATATTTGAATAGTTATATCGTATTATGTTGCTGATGCCGAATTGAACTATGGGAAAAGGTGAGAATAATATTCCGTTGGCATGCACCGTCTTTATCACACCACTACAGTGGTTGAATACTGCACAATCATCCTCGGTTTTATGCATGGGTATGATGGTGTTCGTACTGAAAATATCCAGCGAAGATTTACACGACACCTGTCACACAAAGATGAAGGACTGACTTAGGTGGATAGGTGCAAACAATACGAACTTCGGCCACTTTGGTTAAGACCACTGAAACTCAACCTAA